CAGCTCGATTGGATCACGGGAAGTGGGTTAAAAAACGACCGAAAGATTTGCACGGTCGTAAGCAAGCAAGCAAGTGAACTTAATATAAAGGATTTAAAAACCCCACAACATTGTGGATCGACCAACGCACGTGCCACCTCAATAAATATAACATGTACACTATATTGCCGGCTCGACTTAACAAGTGATTTTTTCAACAGACATGTGGGTTGCGAGCTTTCAACATTTTCGAGAAGCTACTTTGGCTACTTTCTCTCACTTGCTCATTATCGCTGGGTTCACTGCCCTTGAAGTTTCTGCTGCTTTGAGTGTTTACACTCGGCTCTCTTTGGCACATGAAACCCATCCACTTGAGCCGTAGCACAACAAAGCCTTTAAACAGCAATGCCGAGGCACATACAAAAAAAGGCAATCTTTGATCAACCTAAGGATTTTCTAAATTGCCATATTTTCATAAATAGATATGTACAGGAATATGGCGTGCCCGTACGTAATTTTTGTCTTGCGCGAATGGCCCGTTACATCCATTGTTGTCCAACCCGTACTATCTCTGTGGTTTGTATTTTCTCATTTGTTCTGTCAACTTCACACAGAATCATTGGTCCAAAGAAAGGTTACCCATAAAAAATTGAATAAAAAAACACACTGAAACAGTTTAATTACATGCACCATTAATGTATCGTCAGCGTAAAAAAAAACAAATATCTTAATGGATGAATCGATTAATTGCAAACCCCACGCTTTGAAACATTTAACGGAGCCATTCAGTGAACTTTTCTCATTGTAAATCACGGCGAAGTCGCCCGCAGCCGGAGGACGCTCCGAGGCTTTCACACGTCCAAGCAGCCAAGAACACTCAACCCGGCATAGCAGCTGTCGACAGTGCCTCTATAAACAAACCCCCAACTAGAGAAAGCGGGTCATTGTTTCTATCTTGTGACTTATCGTCCCACTCTCGTCTGACTCCGCAATGCCCGTGCGTTACAGTAGCGGCATATGTACACGCAGCATTTCTGCCACGGGGAGGGCGACGCAGATTCCTCCTCCACTCTACACCGGTGGCACCACACAAACAAGAACGCGAGTGTGCTACAACGTACCTCTGCCGTCTACCCCCTCAATGTATGGAATGCGATGACGCTGCGTCAAAAGCACGCGTGCTCGACACGGTGCAACATTCATCACGTGCTCTCGATTTGCCAAGCGGTTGTTGCATAGAAGTGGCCGTAAGCACGTTTTGGCACCGGCCCTGCTGCAAGGGTTTGAAATGGGCCCCTCCCCCTTGTTGACGTCTGGATCCCTCCACCCCGTGGGCCCTCGGTGCAGTTCAACGTCCTGCACACTCATTAGCTACTCTGTTGTCTCATCAGGGCCAAACACGCGCTGACTGTTGTCATTGTGATGCTGCCAGCACAGTGCGGCGTGCACACAAAGCGTGCCCTCAAGCGAGTCGTCTGAAGCCACCTGGAGATGCCGGGCACGAGAATTGGCAAATGCGGGATGAGATTTACGTGCGAGGGGGCATTAGTGTGAGGATTCTCACTGTGGCCGAGTAGAAACGGCCACTCCGAACCTCCGAGAATTGATTCCTACTCTGCGTGTCTCCACAACCAAAAGTCCTGTGCCCACATTCGCGTTCGTTAAACTTAACGCAACGCAATGGAATTGCCGTACATCGATTTAAATCATGAAACACCCTTTAGCTCGCTGCAGTGTTTTAATTTTGACCGTATACAATTATATTTCCCCAGCGTTCTGTGCCGAGGAAGCCTCATCTAACAATGCGTTTGATAGAATTGTGCTTATCTCTTGCAAATGGCACGTCCCGTGACCATCTGCTAATTATTATTCAACACGCAGCGCCAGCAAAACATAAGCGCGACTTTTAAATAACCCGGGGGGCACCCTGGAAAGTACAACACCACAAAGAGAAGAAATATTAACACTTGAGTATTAGCCTCCGGCGTCCGTTGTTCTAGAAACAATCGTAACACTTTTTTTTTCTTCTTGGTTCTTTCGGTAAAGTCACGTAGAAGGGAAGTAATAAAATAATAAAAATAAAACATAATAAAATAAAATAATTCTCACGACGTTTCGGCTACAACGCAAGCAGCCGTCTTCAGGTGAAGAATGAGACACTACCAAACTAGGAGCTTATATATAAGCTGCGTTGGGGGTGGAAGAGCGCCTTAACAAAAAGAATGTGCATATGAAGAGGAATTTAGCATATTCATGGAAAATGCGTAGGCGTTGGGCGGGGGGGTTTCAAAGTCATATTATGCCCATGCATTATGCAGGATCAGCAGCACACTGAATTCCGGTGGAAAAAGGACGACATGTTCCACAGAGAAACAATTTCTATCCAACGCTATGAGTTGGCTGTAAGAATCCTACAGCATCGAAACTTCCCAAAGCACACCGAGGATACGCGCGCCTTAAGCGGCGTGACGCAGCAGGTACACCCCCAACCTTAGAGCCATCGTCTACCATTAGATTTACACATCTTACAGCGGAAGCTGTAAATAGTTTTTTCAGAAGCGTCTCCCCCCCCTTTGAAGTACAATGATGATGGGTGACATGGGAACTTCAGAAACCACGCGGTTGATCACTGTTCCCAGACAAGGCGCGTGTGTGTCGAAACATCTTGGAGTATTATGGTGATTTCCTCCAAATCTGGCCTTGCTTGTGGCACTGAACATTGTCTGAGAGCTCAGCCAAATGGCCTTTGGTGCTACCGGCTTTCGAGTTAGAATACTGATACTGCAGCTCTCCGTGCCATAATACTCCACCTTTGGTTGCAGCATTACAGACTCTCTTCTCTCTCTTTGGTGGTGCCTAGTTGATCAAGGATGACCTGATGGGGCTCTCGCATGGAGACAAAAACCATCCTGCTCACCATGTCCTAGACACAGGGTAGTGCGCTGACACACCACCCAATCACCAGAGTTGTCCACACTCTGTGGCCAATGTACATCGGCCGAAAAAGAGGTCGTTGACCGAAACGCCTGCCAATCAAATATTCTTCTGATATTACAAAGTAACGATGGACATTTGTGCGCGACCGTTATTTGGGTTCCATATAAAGGTGACTTCATAGCCTGCGTCGTTGTGTATGGGAGCGTCAACTTGCGCAGCCCATTCGCCGTTCACACCACGGCGTACGTTTAAACTGCTGCAACATAGTTGTTGTCGGGACAAATATTGAGATGCATGCGGCTGACGGGGGACAGTCAACGATCGGTGAGGGGGGTGAGGGGGGGGGTGAGGCCACGTGCACATTATGCGGATGTGGAATCGCCTGCGTTCGTCTGTGTCTAATTGAGCAAAGGTCACCTCGTGACATTGTCCCCTCGAAGGGGGTCACGCTTCATTAATGCCACACTGTACACAGCAGCAGCAGTAGCAGCAGGGGGCTGCCCCATTCAAGACCAACCAAGAGACCTGCCCGCTCGTTGCTCAGGGGACCAGCACATCACGCCAACGTGACAGCTTGCTGCTGATGCTGCTGCTGCTGCACACACAGGTGCCTGCTGCATACACACACAGGGTGGGGGGGGGGGGGCAGGGGGGGGGAGATGCCTTCTCCATCCATCACCTCGCACCGCTGGGACTCTTTTGGCTGCGCTAAAGCGACTCGTACCTGACGTGAGCAGATGGGCACACGCCACATATTGTGTACAGGCGCGCATACACAACACACACAGGTGCACGTATAGAGATATGTGGTGGTCCACATAAACAAAGACAAAGATTCCCCCGTGTAGCCTTAACAGACTGTTTGGGGCAAGTGTCGTTAGCGAGCAGCACCGATTAAGGCCGGCACGGCACACGAGGGGGGTGGCATGGCCAGCACCACGCCCGGCCGCCTTTGTCTCCCTAGTGGTGATGTTTTTACGCGCCACACCAGGTACTCATTTGAGGCTGAGTCGACCAATATAAACGCACCGATACGCACACGTGCCAGCGAATGCACATGCATCAGTACACATACGTACACTAACATGCACGAGAACACACACACACAACGTACAGACTCAGTTAAAAGAGAAGTGATGCGCGTGTCCGACGCAAGAATCCCATGCGGACACCGCGCCTCCGATGAGCACGGTGTGGCGACGTACGGTGCGAAAGAAGTTCAACATCGAACCCAACAATTCAGCGTTTGGCCACTGGCCACAGATCGAAGCCGGCACACATGACAACGCCGGTGGACACTCGTCGTCACGAAACACTCGTCTATGGATCAACCAGTGCGGTACAATACAGAGGCACCGTGATGCAACCTTGGCAGCTATAAATGCAGCAAAATTCCCGATACGTACAGACACACAAAGGGCATAACTAAAGCGCGTTACATGTCGAGGTCACGAGTTCGCACGGAGGCACGGAGAACAACCCTGAGAGGCACGAGGAATGCCCCTTGCCAGGGTAACGCTGAAACATTCAGCGAGAGAGGGGGATGATGAGAGAAGGTTGTGGTGGTGGTGATGATGGACGAGAGAGATATGGGGGGTAATCTGGGAGACACTGAGTAGGTGAACGGACGTGAGGAATAACCTTGGGTGGTGGGAGAGGTTTGGGGAGAAGGGGTGAGATGGGAGAGATGGGGAGAGGTTTGGAGAGATGGGGAGAGATGGGAGAGATATGGGAGAGATATGGGAGAGAAAGGGGAGAGATGGGGAGAGAAAGGGGAGAGATGGGGAGAGAAAGGGGAGAGAAGGGAGAGAGGTTGGGGAGAGATGGGGAGAGAGATGGGGAGAGATTGGGGAGAGAGATGAGGAGAGAGATGGGGAGAGAGATGGGAAGAGATTGGGGAGAGATGGGAGAGAAGAGAGAGAGATGGGGAGATATGGGAGAGAGATTGGGGAGAGAGATGGGAGAGAGATGGGGAGAGAGATGGGGAGAGAGATGGGAAGACATGGGAAGAGATGGGGAGAGAGATGAGAGAGAGATGGGGAGAGATTGGGGAGAGAGATGGGAGAGATTGGGGAGAGAGATGGGAGAGAAGAGCGAGATGGGCTAAACGAGGAGGCCAGCCAGAGGATGATGGAACGCGATCTGGAATCCCGAGATCTGGTTGTGGATTTGAGTCGGAATCAGACGGCACGGAGCGCGTGTCGGGCCGGAGCGGCGCGGAGGGATCGGGGCGAGACGGAGACGCGACGACGAAGTTGTTGAGATGCAGCGCGAGAGGCCATGGAAGCTGCTGATGATGGTGCTGATGATGATGGTGCTGATGATGGTGCTGATGGTGCTGATGATGGTGCTGATGATGGTGCTGATGATGGTGCTGATGATGATGGTGATGATGATGGTGATGCTGACGGTGATGATGGTGCTGATGATGGTGCTGATGATGGTGCTGATGATGGTGCTGATGATGGTGATGATGATGATGGTGCTGCTGCTGCTGCTGATGATGGTGCTGATGATGGTGCTGATGATGGTGCTGATGGTGCTGATGATGGTGCTGATGATGATGGTGATGATGATGGTGCTGCTGCTGCTGATGATGGTGCTGATGATGGTGATGATGATGGTGATGATGATGGTGCTGCTGCTGCTGATGATGGTGCTGATGATGGTGCTGATGATGGTGCTGATGATGGTGCTGATGATGGTGCTGATGATGATGGTGATGATGATGGTGCTGATGATGATGGTGATGATGATGGTGATGCTGACGGTGATGATGGTGATGATGATGGTGATGCTGACGGTGATGATGGTGCTGATGATGGTGCTGATGATGGTGCTGATGATGGTGCTGATGATGGTGATGATGATGATGGTGCTGCTGCTGCTGATGATGGTGCTGATGATGGTGCTGATGATGGTGCTGATGGTGCTGATGATGGTGCTGATGATGGTGCTGATGATGATGGTGATGATGATGGTGCTGCTGCTGCTGATGATGGTGCTGATGATGGTGATGATGATGGTGATGATGATGGTGCTGCTGCTGCTGATGATGGTGCTGATGATGGTGCTGATGGTGCTGATGATGGTGCTGATGATGGTGCTGATGATGATGGTGATGATGATGGTGCTGCTGCTGCTGATGATGGTGCTGATGATGGTGCTGATGATGGTGCTGATGATGGTGATGATGATGGTGATGATGATGGTGCTGCTGCTGATGATGGTGCTGATGATGGTGCTGATGATGGTGCTGATGGTGCTGATGATGGTGCTGATGATGATGGTGATGATGATGGTGATGCTGACGGTGATGATGGTGCTGATGATGGTGCTGATGATGGTGATGATGATGGTGATGATGATGGTGCTGCTGCTGCTGATGGTGCTGATGATGATGATGGTGCTGATGATGATGATGGTGCTGATGATGGTGCTGATGATGATGGTGATGATGATGGTGATGCTGACGGTGATGATGGTGCTGATGATGGTGCTGATGGTGCTGATGATGGTGCTGCTGATGATGGTGGTGCTGCTGATGATGGTGGTGCTGCTGCTGATTATGGTGCTGATGATGATAGTGCTGCTGCTGATGGAGTCGGGATGCAGGTGGGGAGGGGAGGGGGGGTGATGAGGCTCCGACGCTCACCCGACGAGGCTCTGATGACCCCGGCCATGTCGGCGTGTCCCTTCTCCTCCACCGTCCGTGCGTCTCTTCCCCTCTCTCCCGCGTCTCTCCTCCTCCTCCTCTCCCGTGGCCGCCTCCTCCTCCTCCTGCTCCTCCTGCTGCTGCTGCTGAGCCTCTCCCCGTGTCTCCCCTCTCCCCCGGGGCCCGGCGTGGCTACGCGGGCCGCATGCCGCCTCCCGGCACAGAGACGACGCGTGGACCCCGCGTGTCTCCGCGCGTCTTTGTGTCTCTCCGTGTCTCCCTGTGTCCCCGTGTCTCCCTGTGTGTCTCCCCGTGTCTCCCCCCGTGCGTCTCTCCCCGTGTGTGCTACGCCGTCGCTGTGTCTGCTTCTCGCCACCCTCCCCACCACCACATTTAACTCCCCCCACCCACCCCCCGCGTCTCCCCGTGCTGCTGCTGCTGCGGCTGCTGTTGTCCTCCGCGTCTCCGTCTCGGCGTCTCCCCACCACCTCGTGTCGTCCTCCCCGTGTCCCCGTGTCTCCGTCCCCGTGTCCCCGTCTCCCCCAGCCCGCGTCGTCCTCCCCGTGCCCGCGCGTCGCCTCGCCGCTGCTATGGATGCTCGCCCCGGGGCTCCACCGCCACCGCCGCCTCCTCCGCGTCAACGCGGCCCGGCACGACGCCTCCTCCTCCACCCCCCCCTAGCGGCGCGCGGTCCCAGCCAGCAACAGCGCACACACAGTACACACACACAGTAAACACACAGTACACACACAGTACACACACACAGTACACACACACAGTACACACAGTACACACACAATACACACAGTACACACACAGTACACACAGTACACATAGTACACACACAGTACACACACAGTACACATTACAGTGCACACAGTAGAAACACACAGTACACACACACAGTAGACACAAAGTACACACGCACTGCAGCATACACACAGTACACGCAGAACACACACAGTGCACGCACACAGTACACACGCACAGTACACGCACACAGTACACACACAATACACACACACAGTACACACACACAGTACACACACAGTACACACAGTACACACACACAATACACACAGTACACACAGTACACATAGTACACACACAGTACACATTACAGTGCACACAGTAGAAACACACAGTACACACACACAGTAGACACAAAGTACACACGCACTGCAGCATACACACAGTACATGCAGAACACACACAGTGCACGCACACAGTACACACGCACGGTACACGCACACAGTACACACACAGTACACACACACAGTACACGCGCACTGCAGTACACACACAATACGCACACAGTACACACGCACTGCAGCATACACACAGTACACACAGTACGCACGCACTGCAGTACACACACGCAATGCAGTATACACGCAGAACACACACAGTACACGCACACACGCACTGCAGTACACACACAGTACACGCAGTACACACAGTACATGCAGTACACATGCACTGCTGTACAAAAACACAGGCACTGCCGTAAACACGTTAGTACGCTCAGTACACACAGTAAACAGAGACTCTAGTACACACACGGCACACGCAGTACACAGACACCACTGTACACAGGCAGTACACACAGTACACACAATACAGCACATTGCAGCATATAGTACATACAGTACACGCATATAGTCCACACGGTATACCCATTGCACTTCACTATACATAGTAGCCTATTATACATTGCAGTACACTAATCTATAGTACTTGCAGTACACAGCAATATGCAGTGCATAGATTGGATACAGCACACACAATACTGTAGACCATAAATACACAGTACACACACTTCACATACATGCAGTAAGGGTAGGGATTTGCATTACAACAGCATATTGCAGTACACTCTTAACACATATACACAGTACACATTCGGCACACAGTACAGAGTTTACACCCACAAAGTACACACTGGACAGAGTACACTCTGCATTACATCACACACGCTGTACAAGCGAGACATAGCACACACACACTATCAGGGATGTTGGCCAGTGGTTAAGCCTATAAGACATCGGAGTCAGAATGTTTATTCATCCTGGAGAAATCCGATGAGCTGTGAAGCTCTTTTTTTTATCACAGACGTCAACATCGTGGCCGCCAAAGGAAGCGATGATTACATTAGCTCGCGTGCGGCAGGCCACATGGATTTTTTTTTTAACTATGAGGGTCTTGGGAGGGCCTTCATCTAGCAGGGGATAAACCATGGCTGATTATAATCATAATTATGCTATACATTACATATTGCAATACAGCACTGTTATATACACTGCACGCACACTTCAATTCACTATTAAAAATTGAGCCCACTGATTTATTTAGTTGCTGGATTTGATGATGGATGTGGCCTGCCCTGTCTAATCTTAATAAGTAGCCCAATTTTTTTTTTGCCGTAATTATGTTGGTGTCACTCTCAGATGAGATTCCACTCGGAGCAAACCTCTTTGATGAACCTCCATAGCCTCCTCCCCCACTCCGACAAACCCAACGCGGCTGCATCAATAACCCAAAACAAGTCACACCTGTCCACAAAATCACAAATAAAACCTCGCGTCCAATGAACGTTGACATCTCATTGAATCCTCCAAGTTGGTGCTGTGACCAAACCTGCTATCATGACAATCAACAAATAATGTTATCCTGGGGCACATTGTAGTCTGAATTAGCGACTGTGCTGATCACCACTCGGTTGTAGAATGCCACCGATAAGGGACTGGCATCTGATGCAGTTGGGTCTGATAACGCCTTCAAAATCAGTGACTGCGCACTTCAGTGTGAGAAAGACCCGTTACAGACGAGCACCCCCCCACCCCAATCCCTTTGGACTTAAGCCGTGACAAGTTCCTCAAATAAATATGGAATATGTACATCTGCTTTACATTTCAGGACATTTCCTTCAGAGTTCGTGTTTTGAATGGGCTGCCAGATTCACCACTCGGGCAATAAGAATCACTTGCTTTTTTTTTTTTAAAGATGACAAATATTCAGGCAAATCTAATTCTTTATCTTATACATCATTTAAATGTAAATAGAATTAATTTTTTGTTTGGATGTATTTTGCCTGGTGTGTGTGCTGTTTATCCTCTATTGCACTCTTTACAATGAAATACAGTGCAATGAACATGTGGAATCAGTTTGCTTTTGGCGTTTTTTATGTTGTTTTCATTTTAAAATTTGGTTGGTTTGCTGTGTGGTGTTTTTAGAATTCCATTCTGGTCTCGCTTGAAACAGAGGCTTCTGTTCCCCATAGCCTCTTCATCATTATCATCATCAGTCACGATCAATCATGGGCAACTCAACATCACTGCCTTAGAAAAAATACAACAGCACTGCCTTAGAAGCAGAACATATTTTTCATTTTCAGACAGAGGAAAAATATTAAATGGGACTTTTTAACCAGTATCAAAATATGAAAAAAATAAGAAAAGGTTTTACCCTTTCTGGCAATAAACCCGTTTTATGTTTTCCTTTTAAGGTAGTGTTACTGCCGAGTGTGTTGAGTTTTTTTTGTTATTTGTTCTTGTGCACCACTGCCAACACAGCATCACCAAATATTGTCTTAACTATTGGCTTTATATAAATATACTGCGTGACTCTCACAATCCACGCGAACCGGCCACACTCCAACCGAACAGAAACCCCGAGACACTGCGAGACAGCGGGCGATGCCCCATCCAATGTCTAAGCTGCCAACACAGTTACACACCTAATTTATTTGGGGCAATTCAAATGATGTATGCGGACTTTATAGGAAATGTCATCTTGGCGCCATGCGCATTTCTAGCGTTTCAAACCCTCTTTCATTTTAAGTGCAGCAAGGGACCTGTCCACCCGGCGCTCTGCAAAGAGGGCCACAGCCCCTCATGCCTCGTCCATCGAGAGGCTTGCGAAACACCTCAGGAGCGTTCAGAACGAAAGCCGAATCTTTGCACAGTGGCACGACGATGTAAACGATGATGATGTGATGATGATGATTCTCATGCATAGTTTGTTTCGGGAGAATCCATCCTCATTTGTACACGCGGGCCGATGAGTGGGGGAGGGGGTGGAGGCACGCGCGTTGCAGACAAAAAGGCGAATAGGTCAGTAGCTGCAGGGTAGTAAAGAATGAAGGCATGATGCATTATGGGGGTTTTAGTCACCCGTCAATTTGTATGGCTCTTTGATCAGAATGACGGGAGTATGAATCACAGCTCTTGATGTTAAGTTACACTGTCCATTAAAATGTTTAAACCCTTATAAAAGTGTCATGTTGTATAATGGGATACATTCATTATTAGGTCCACTAAATAAAAATACCGCATTAACGCCCTTCATAACGGTCTATATACGTGTTAAACAGTCAGGGGCTGTGAAAGGACATTGAGTGAACATTTTGTCCGGGTAATTAAGCCGTCAGATCCTGCAGTTAAAGGAATATCTATTGAAATATTTCAATAATTCCACAATTTGTGGAACCTATAGCTTAAAAACCCAAGGATCAAGTCCACAAAATAGCTTTAATCCATTAAAAAGTATCCGAATTATAGTTAAAACTGAAACAAATCCAGTCGATGATGATAGAGCCATGCCATGTTGAACATATTCAGTGTTCACCAGCACAGTACCCACGCGGCTGGTCGAGTACCAGCATGTGCGGGTGGCACTTTTCCAGTCTCACCGATCGCAGGCTGCACCACCACTCGGTCCCGTTGAAGAATGACACCCGAGCGCCGTGACTCTCTCGTCACGACACATTGCGTTGGTGCCAGGAGATGTCAACCGTGCAGTCGCCGCTGCACGATGACGTGAAAGCCATCGACGAAGCGACACGAGCAGAGACTGCCCGCGACTCGTGGGTGTGTGCGAACCAGGAGGGATCTCCATGTAGATGAACAACTCGCAGCACAAACATTAAAAAAAAACTTACTCGGAGTGCTTCGCTTTGGCTGCGCCGCGTGCTGACCCAAACGCTTCCTTCTGCCACCACCGCCGCCGCCATCGCCATGCGGGTGTGCG